TTCCACCTTGTTCCATTCAGCTGGAATTTACTGGATGTCACCTTTATGTGCTTTACCCTATAAGAGTGGAAAAGAATTATAACAGCACTTCTGCTCTTCATGCCTTTATAATTTAAAGCAAAAAAAAAAAAAAAAAACCCAAAGAATAACACAAAATGATTAGCAATCTAGTACTAAAGCGAAGGTGCAGATGGTTCCCCGGGGGGAGATATTAATGTGGGCAAGAGTGGATGAAAAAAACTTCACAGAGCAGGTGAGACTAGAGGAGGAAGCTGAAAATTAAAGAAAAGGATGCAAAGGCAGAGCTAAGGAAATCTGCCGAGGCAGGGAGGGACTCAGGGGAAAGGCAGAGACAAATAATGGTTTCTCCCTCAATCTAGAACTCTGCAGCAGTCATAACACACGTATTAACAACATACGACTTGCAATATGGGTGTGGATGTAACACTTCCTAATAGGACCCCAACCCAGGTGACTTGGCAATGCGTGTGTTGGGGTTGGGCAAAAAACAAAAACGGATCAAAGCTTTCTGAGGTTGCTGTGCTTTGTAGTGTAAGAAAAAAAAGGACTCTAATGATAATTGGTCCCTGTGCCATGTGGCTGAAAAGAAAAATAGACAGACACTGGGAGGCATCAAGCTATGAACCCTGCACTTGGTACCATGGCACATTCTCATCTTGAAACATCAGGCAACCATTAGCAGTGAATTTTATGGAATTTTCAGTGGCATCCAAAAATGTTAAAATATGGTAAGTGAAAAAGGAAAGCTAAACTTATGTTTACAATGTGATCACAACTATTTAGGAAATACAAAAAAAGAATAAATAATTATCGCCAAAGCAAAAAAAAAATCTAAGGCAATACATAGAAAAAATATTGCTGGAATACATATGATGCCCAATGTAGGACATTAAGTAGGTAAAAGTCATCTAATACAGTGAACAGCTGTAACATCATAGGTTGGTGATATATTTTTTTCTGGAAATCTATTTTATGCTACAAAAATACCTAATTTGGTCACAGAAATAAGTGAAAACCACATATATGCCATTACAAACATTAAGAACATAAGAGAAACATTCCATACAAAAGTTACCTCATAAATAATACTTTGGGGGATTTTTCTTCACGGGCTGGCTTCTTAAACTGGCAGTTCTTCTGAAAGTATAAGTATATTTGATTTTTTTTCATGAATATGCATTCTTGCTTTCCTGCCAAGTCTCCCTGTAGCAAACAGCCAGTCTTCTGTGAACGAAGACCCGTAGACCTGAATTCAGTGTCGGGGTCATCTGTCTCAGAAATTTTGA